GTTTTAATTAGATTCCTGTACCTGAACAATCCGCTTGCAGCTTATTGGGTGGGATCATGAAGAAAGAAAGGGCTTAGATACATTCTATAAGGTGGACTAGCTGGTAAGAGCTGCAGTGCCGGTTCAGCACTTACCCCACCAGTCCTTTCCCATGCTAGGTGACTCTTGGCCTGGCATGTTTGGGCAGGACTCTTTACCTGCTTTGTATCATCTACACTGGCTTCTAGTTCCAGCAAGAGCTGTTTACATGCTCTTAATTTAACTGTCACACTAGAATATGTCACCGTTCTTTTTACGTATTGCCCCCTCTTTTAGAAACAGGATGGGCATCTTTAGTTCATGCTGTTCCTGTTCCATGTGCTTCTAGATTAATTTTAACTTGCCTGCTCTTTAGCTTTCATGACATTCAAGATATTTTCCAGCTTTACTTCCTGTATAAGAAAATAGAGACTGTTTTACCACAAAGGGAAGCGGGGACTGGGGGATAGTATTTAAATCAAGCATAGAATCATATCCTGGTTTGGAAGGAAATAAGAACAAAGTATCGAATGAATTTTTATCTCACTCATTACTCTGTATTCAACTTACAGGATAGCACATTAAGCTCCTATTCAGCTTTACTCTTTGATTTCAGAGTGGGTCTGGAAAAAAGACAACAATACGTGTTTGGGGCTTGATTTAAAATAGCAGGCTTTTAGTAAAACTAATTTTTTCTACAGTCGGAGGAAATGAATAGGTGGGGTAATAATAATGAACTTGGGGCAATGTTCTCCTAAGAGCAGGGCATGAAAATTGAAAGCACTAAAAAGAATCTTGCGTAAGTGCTTTAAAAAGTCCCTTTCCAATTTTCTTCTTTATGCTGCTAACACAATCGTATTTCTTAACGGTTTTCTATTAACAGTGATTCGTCTTGACAGGTAGCTTAAAGATGTAAATAATAAGGTAATGTCTGGGAGCACTTTACTGTTGCTTGCTTTGACACTGTCATAGTGGTAAGACATGTCTCTTTCCAGCCTGGCTTCCGTGTTACTTCTGGAGGGCACAGGAAACGCCGTGCTGTGTAGGAGGGCTGAGTTTGCCACCTAGAGGAGAGATGTGAAATTCAAGTTACTAAAACCCACTGAATTCCCTAATGTTTCTTCATTCGCTCACTTACTCATATAATTTATTCAAAACATAAAGGATCTATAGGACTTAATAATAATATTTTTGCCAGGATAAACTTGATAAATTTCTTCAAGGTAGAACTCAAACTATCTGTGACGTGTGTTTTACGTTGTCTTTCAAATCTTATTTGGAAGACCATGTAGCCTAATCCTTAGACATGTCTAAGGATCTCTGTTGGGGATGAATATCACTTTCAGTTTAGGGGCTATAGTGAAACTATATATTTTTTGATAATACTGCTTTTTCCTTTTAAGTCTTTAACAAGTATGATACAGACAGACAAATATAATGGCTTCTTGTTTGATATGGGATGAGATGTAATTTCTTCTTTAAAGAAATCAGAAGAACACGGGGCAGTGGTGGCCCATGCCTTTAATCCCAGCACTCAGGAGGCAGAGGCAGGTGGACCTCTGTGATTTCCAGGCCAGCCTGGTCTACAGAGTGAGTTCCAGGATAGCCAGGGCTATGCAGAGAGATCCTGTCTCAAAACAAAAACAAAAATAAAACCAAAATCAAAACAAAACGAAAAGAAATGACAAGAGAGTAGCCTAGTGATAAAGGCCAATAATTCTGATATACTTTATTTTTACTTTCTTTACCATTCTATATTCATTGTACATAGATCGAGGTTCACAGGGACACTTTTTTTCACATATATATTTTAACCATATTCATGTTCTCTTATTCTCCTCTCTCTTCCTCTTTCCTGCCTCCTATGAGTCTTTGACATCTCCTAGTCTCCCTCCTAGTTTCATGTTATATTGATCCAAGGGTGGTTTTATGATGGTATATTTTATTTATATATTTATTATTTGTTAGGGTGTAACCACAGGGTCTTGTGCAGGCCAAGTAAGCATTCTAAGCTGGCCTACATCAAAAGCTCAATTCTAATATGTTTGAAATGACAGGGTGTTTAGAATAAATTCATCATTTGGTAAAGTTAGTATATATGTATGCTTGTGCCATTTATTGTACTTTAAGTACTTCTAGAGTTAATAAAAGATTCTTTTCCTCCCTTGGTACACAAGCACTGTCTGGCATAGTGAATGCATGTGAAGTACTCAAGAAATAGTGATCTCATCGCTAACTTCATTATTTTGGAATAGGGCTTGATTTGGAAGAGATATTGATTTATCTGAGAAAATTTATAGGAAGAGCATCAATATCTTCCTTGTCAATATTTATTGTCAGTATAATTTATAATTTCTTAGCTAAATAATTCTAGGAAACAACATATTAAAATATTTTAAATAACAAAAACTTAAAATCACATCTAAATTGTAGAGGCCAAGAATAAGGATTCAAAAGTAGATTCAAAGACTAGACCTTCTTGCTGATCACTAATAACGTGCCTAGAACAGAGCATTTTGTCTTAGCAGGTTACCTGGACACACCCTCCCAGCTGTCTGTCTGCCTGTTCTCTGTCTCTCTGTCTGCAAGGACCTGCTCAGGCCCCTTCAGTACCACTCTCTGTTTGTATCCATTTAGATTTTTTTCTCTCTGTCTTTACCCTACTCACCTTTGTGTGGGAATAAGACTCACCTCTCCATTTACAAGCAGCAACCTGCCACTGTTTTGGCTGTGTTTCAACTGTAAAAATCTTTTTTTTTTTTTGTTTGAACCTTAACATTTGTATGGGTAGCAGTGTTGTTATGAACTGTTGAGTGTAAGGTTCCGAGAGACGGAGGCCAGCATTGTTTTCTGCACTTTTGGAATAAGGAAGTACAGGTAACTGAAATTAAAGCAGAATGGTAGAATACAATAGATATTTGGAGAACTCATATACTCTCTTAAAAAGTCAGCTTAGAAATGTGGCTGAGCAATTGAAGCATGGCCTGCTGTATGGTTTCTTTGAGGTCTCAGCACTTAAACGAATTTCATCAAAATTTTAGGCCCTCAAAGTTTTCTCACTCTAATTGTGGAGTTGAACTGTGATTCTTCTTTCCCTTATTGGCATTTTGAATCCCTGATCTCTAGGTCCTCAGTCAGTGCAGATGTAATTACTTAAGATGAGGTCATACTGGAGTAGCATAAGCCCTAATTCAGTATGACCAGTGTCCTGCAAGAGGGGGAGTTTGGGCCATAGAGACACACAAGTAGAAATACTACTTGAAGATTGAAGTTATGTCTCAAGCCAAGACATTACCACAAACTAGGAGGGTGGTCTGGAGGAGAGCCCTCCCAAGAACCTGGAGAGGGAGTTTGGGCTGCTGGCTCCTTGACTCTGATGTTTAGCTTTTAGAGCTGTGATACAATGAATCTCTCTTTCCTAAGCCACCCAGTTCGTTGCCCTTTGTTACTGTAACACTAGAAAATTATGTTATTTTAACTGTGGTGACCAAGGTGGAATTGTATAACCATATAATCCTGTTTTAATTCCTATGAGAATCTTTCACTGTAGATAATAATGCCATATCTCTACAAATTAGTAAACTGAATCTTAGAATAATCGAATGGCAAGTTTAAGGTATTGCTGCTGTTTCATGATGATGCCAAGTGACTCCAAACTGCCCATCATCCCATTCCAGACTACAATTGGAGGTGGGGGTGGTACCTATGTGTTGAGAAGGCGCTCCTGAGCAAAATCAGACTGTCAAAGGAGTAGGGCAAGATAAACCGTACAAAGCCAAGCAACCACACAGGGTACAGTAAATGGAGTACCATTGCTCATGTACATGGATTCTCTGTACCCGTGATTCCTAAAATTGCCTGTTAGTCCATTTAGCCTCATTATGCAAGAGGAAGCAGGTGGTTAGAGATGATGGTGTGTCTGTACGCTTCCTTGGACCTGGGTATTTAATATCTGCAAATCCACATTCACCTGAATGTAGAGATGTAAACTATAAATTACTATGACACAAAGCTCTCTTGTCATCTGGCTTGATTTTGATGATGTTTTTGTCAGACAGCCAGGGATAATATTAACACTTTAAAGCTGGAATGATCAAGAGGTTCTCTGACCTCCCTGCCCACACAGTAGTCCTGGGTGCCAGTAGGGGATTCCCCAGGATTTCCAGTTTTAATCCAGTTTTCCATCTTGCTAGTGCCAGTAGCAGCTGCTTGGCTTCCTCTGCCTTCTCTTGGTCAGTTCTGTGTGTTTCCAGGACATGATTGTCTACTAAGGAAGAACCCAATGTGAAAACAGAAAACAAGTGGACCAGAGAGGATGATGGTAGACAGGATAGAATACAGATTGTCCTTTCGTGTATTTGCGGAGAAGTCTTTGTCACACTGTTTTCAGAAAACTCCTTGACAATATCGCACAAGCATTGCAGCCCAGAACACTCTCTCCGTACAGGGAAACGTTGCTTAGAAAGAAACAAAAATTTGTGCTTGGTTCCACTGCAGGGCCTGTGATCATGCCCAGGGAAAATCTTTCTGATTCTGCTGCTGAAGGATGACAGATTATGCTTTCTCTGAACTTTGAACATCTTCAGTAGAAGTATGAATGAAAAAAGATGCCAGATCCCAATCTTATTTATGTTGCATGTTTGCATGTTTTCTGCTCCTAACATTTGTGTGTGTGTGTGTGTGTGTGTGTGTGTGTGTGTGTGTGTGAGAGAGAGAGAGAGAGAGAGAGAGAGAGAGAGAGAGAGAGAGAGAGAGA